CCTTCCCGCCGCAGCCCGGCGGCTTGGGGACCGGGATGGTGGCCCTCTGTGCCACTGCTGCAGCCCGAGAGCGCCGGACAGAGCGTACCCATTGGCGAGACTGCTGTTCCACTTCGGGTGCACCACGAACTCGGAGACGGCGATGGCCACAGAGCCGGGCTCGTCGGTGGAGAGGCTGTGCCGGCCCAGCACCACACGGTAGGTCTCGGAGCTCCTGGCAGGGCCGGTTGGAGGGTGTCAGCTCCGCCCTCCCCTGGGCCCTAGGCAAGGACACCCTGAGCATAACCCGGAGCTGTGGGGCCACTAGCAGGGATTGGGGCTTTGTTTCCACAGGGCCAGCAGGTTCTAATACAATGTAATGCCGGAACATCCTGGCCAGACTATATAATAATACAGACTCCTGCACTGATCCACAGCGCATAACCGGAGCTATGATCACACAAACTGCACTCTCATGAAGACAACGAGGTGAACACAGGAATCACCTGCCCTCTAGGGCACTTTCTCATTCACCTCTCACTTTCAGATGGGGAAACTGAGGCCCAGAGAGGGGTAACGAGCCCAGGGAGAGTCTGGAGCTAGAACCAGGGTGCCTGACTCCCAGGCCTCGATTATCTTCCCACCGTGGTATAAATGAGGTTACAAATGAGGTCGGAGGAGAGCCTGCTCCCAGCGTAAGGGACCCAAGTGCCACAGGTATGTCCAGCATGGGCTTTCCCATTTCGCCTCCTTTAATCTACACTGATCTCAGGTAGCCAGTGTTTCCCAGGTGCCGGCATTGAAGCTTGCAGACGTCCCTGGATTTAGGAAAGGAGCACGATTCCAGATGCGGCGGCCACATGTGTTTCCCCCCAAGAGGGCAGACACTGGGCTGTCCCCTCCCCGCCTCCCTCAGTGCCCGGCACACAGCACTTAGTCCCCTCCAGGTCACGCCTGTCAGCAGCCCACAGCAGAGTCACAGATGGGCCGGCCTGCGGTGCGGCAAGGCGCTGTGCAGGACGGGTCGGTCCGCTGGGCCCGGCTGTCAGAAGGGAGCGGGCCGGCAGGCAGGC